ACTTCAGGACACGCAGTCCAGCTGAGTCCATGGTCGGGTGGCATCCCTGGCAGCTCTCACCTCGCTGGCTGACACGTGCTTCCCCGCTCTGATGCGCAGCAGTCGCTGGATGTTGTACACGTTGGTCCCCACGTGCCTGAGGGCAGAGGCCAGGCCTCCCTTCCGGTAGCTGAGGAGAGCATGGGGTCCCATGTGAGACCATATGCTGCCATGCGCAGGGGTGAGTGCAGATGTGTGCACCTGCATGCACGCATGTGGGGACACATGTGCCTGTTTAATACGTGTGGTGTGTGCAAGTAGATATGAACACATGTGTGTACAAGCATATGGGGCAGTAATGTGCATGTGTTTATCCATGTGTAGATATGTGGACACATCAATGTGTATATACATGTATGCATGTGGGGAATAACGTGTATCTGTTTATCTGTGTGAGTACAGATGTGCGTGCATGGAATTCACGCAACCGCGTATATGTGTGTAGGTGGACATGAATACTCACCGATGTATGTGGGTGCCCATCTGTAGGTGGACATACGTGGGGTGGCGTGTTTTCTGCATGCGCATGTATACGTGTGTGTGCATTTATGTATATACCATTTACATGTATCAGGTTCAACAGAAAAGATCGAATACTGGCAATTTCCTATGGTTCGACCTAATATATTGTAATTGTTAATTAAATAAATATTTGAAGCAATTTACAGCAAAAGACATATTTCTATTGGGCATAGTAACAGAAAAGCAAACTGAAAAACAGCACTGGGATCCACTCCTGGGTATACACCCAAGAGAAATGAGAAACGTATGTCCACACAAAAACTTGTATACAATACTGGATGGTGAGTAAACTTACTGCAGTAATCATCTCACAATATATGTAAGTCAAACCATTATGCTGTACACCTTAAGCTTATACAGTGCTGTGTGTCAGTTATATCTCAATAAAACTGGGGGGAAAAACTACCCAAAACTTGTATACAAATGTTAAACAACAGTATTACCCATAACAGCTAAAAAGTGGAAACAACCCAAATGTCCATTAAGTGATGAATACATAAATAAAATGTGGTATATCCATAAATGGTGTTGTATAATTCTATTTAAGTAAAATGTCCAGAAGAGGGAAATCTATACAGACTGCGGCAAGGGAGTATTGTGAGAAATGGGGAGTGATGCTAAAGGGTACGGGGCTTCTTCTGGGGGTGTTGAAAACGTTCTAAAATTACGGCGATGGATCCCACAAGTCTGTGAATACACTAAAAATCACTGAATTGTATGCTTTAAACGGGTGGGTTGTATGGTATGATTTGTATGTCAATAAGTTGTTACCCGCTCCCCTCAGAAAAACCACCCCACACACTGTGATGAGGGAGACAGTTGCCCCAGGCCGCCAGCCACCGCATGGCTCCTGTTCCTCCCAGCCCCCTGCCCGCCTCACTCACATGATTCCAGGGCGAAAGTAGCTGCGAAAGCAGGCGGATTCGTGGCCCTGCGCCTCGCGGTGCTGCACGGTGGCGCCACCCAGCGCCTCCTGCAGGTGCTGCACGAAGGAGCCCGCCGTACCCTGCGCCTCCACACCCGCCTCCTTCCCGACCCAGTAGTGCAGGTCTTTGGGCGCCCCCGACGTGGCCTTCAGGCTCTGGGGGACCTAGGGCCCAGGTGTTTGCGCCCGTGTGTGTGGTGAGGGGCTGAGGTCCCAGGAGTGGGGTGGGGCCCGAGGGCTGAGGCGGAGAGGGGAGATCGAGGTGGAGGATGCACGAAGGGCTGTGGGGAGACTGGTCAGGTGCTTCCACCGACAGGAGACAGAGACCGGCGAGGGAAGAGTGAAGAGGCCTCAAAGGCAGCAGCCTCTGTATGGGATGAGATTCTTGGGCTCCCAGCCTGCCTTTTCCCAGGGCGGAGCTTAGTCTGCACCATGGAACCCCCAAAGGGCCAGCCACCCCCACCCACCCCCCAGACTCCTGAAGTGCTCACGTGCAGGACGATATAGCAGTGCTCCTCAAAGAAGTTCCCATAAGCCCGCTCGGGGACCGGCACTATCTTCAGGTTCTGGGAGAGGAGGGTGCCTAGTGACAACTTGGGAGACCCCCGTTCCCCCCAGCCATGACCCTGTGGCATAGGGGGTGGGAGCTCTGAGTGGGGGGCGGGAGAAGACTGGTCTTAGAGACCTGCACACTGTCTTTATCACCAGCTCTTCTGTCTGGTCGTGCAGCTCACCTCAGTGATCCATATGTGGAGGTCCCTGTGGCTCTCGATGGCTGGGAGGCCCCTGTTGGTGTCCATCCTAGATCAGGAAAGGGTGAGGGAGGGAACAGGAG